CATTTATCACCTTTATCTCACCAAGACAAGCAAAATATTAGAAATATGACAAAGAAAACAAGCACATATCCACAAATGTGACAGAGATCGGCACATTTTAGGCATTTCTATGACACAAATGTGATTTATTTTCCATCAGCTAATGAGCTTATGGTTCCTGTTGTGATTATTCCGTTAAATTTGTACTCTCTGGGATCCCAGAAAGAGCCAAAAAATGCTGCTTTTTGTTATCTACAAGAGATTTTAGCTACTGAAACAACCAGGTGGGATCACTTATGATTTCATAATGTTTCTTTTATGTGTATAATGTCCCAATATAACAGAGTCTTTCAGCTGTATGGCTGAGTAGCTTATGTTTGGTCCATATAGCGTACATGCCTTTCTACAATGTAGTGATTAGAAATGGTCATTTCCAGTAAAATCAAAGCTTATAATGCTTAAAAACAGACATATTTAATTAAAAATCTATTAAATGTTACAATCCGAGTCATAATTGGTTATAAAATTGTCACAGCAGCACATACACAGATATGACTGGAGTCATAAATGATCCCACTCGGTCACTTGTTCCACGTTTTGTTTGTACTTGGAGAAAAAGCTGTAGTTAAAAACTGAGTGTTCCTGGAAGTAATCGGCTGCTTGAAAGAGTCAGAAAGGTCTGTGGAGATGATTTTTGAATCATCTGACAAGCGTTTTGTCATTTTTATGAGTCACGGCGAAGCAACGACTCCGATAAGATAAGAAGTGGCGTTGAGTCGGGACTCGCCACAAGCCGAAAGCAGGAAAACATTACAAGCGCTTCAGGACAAGCGCACCCGGGGAGGATATGTTCGTTTTGTTTGTTTTATTGTGTGATGCGTGACTTAGGGGGCAGCACGTGATTGCAAACGCTATTGTTGCATATTTAATGACATGGGAGTAAGAAAGTTTAGGGAAGGCGTGGAAATCAAACTATGTGACAGATGATGGGAAAATGACTGAAATTTGGGACGAGATGTGACATTACGCTAGTGCAATGTCTTTGGCACAAGTTTTAAGGGACAAACAAAAACTTTTACTGTTCCTACGAGCGCTGAAATGACACTTTATACACTTTAAACTACTGCAGAAGTCTCATGGAGTAAAATATGCATGAATCCCTTATAAGATGAGAAACAGGTGAACTCACGACGTGTGACGGCTGGTCCAATTGCACTTGCATCCTGATAGTCCTACGATCAGTCATTCACTCAATCGGCACAACCAATAAATAGAATATGAATAAATAAATACAAATAAATAGTAGACCAGTAAAATCTCCTCTGCAGTGCTGCTGCGAGCTGAAGCAGTTCATCTCTTCTGGCTCGTCTCCAACTTCTCCGCCCGAAGAGTCGAATCCAAACGTTTTCCTCTCCACGTCGAGCGTGCGCAGAGTCCAGAGCGACACAGAGTGCGCGAGCGTGTTCGCAATCACACGGCAGTCTCCAGGTCTTCGTGGCTCGCGGACGATGAGCTCAGGTAGGCGGTGAGCTCAGCATCTCCATCGGCTTGGTCTGCCGCCGTCTTCCCCTGAAGGAAAGAGACAATTAGATTGGAGCGTGCCTCTCATCCAAAAGGAACGTACAAAAGTGGCAGCATGGATCCGAGGGATGGATTAAAAATGGAAGGTAAGGGGGCAAGGTGTCCCACAGCGAGATCTCTAATCTAGCTAGCATAACGGAGGGCTAATGTGGCCTAAAGAATAAATCACCATCTTTAAATGGAACCATGGAGGACGCATGTTTAGATGCAACTACATGTCTTACCAAGGTTCTGAGAAGATGACTTTCCACCTTTTACTGTTTAATCCAGTCTGACGAAAGTCATTTTTAGTAATTCTGCAACAAGTTTTTGCTTTTTAAGGTATTTTTGGTGTTTTAAACAAAATAACTGTGGTGTAAAATGCCCCTTAAAGGCTCTAAAACCTAAAGAAAGTCAGTGAACGTGAGAAACTAAAGAAGCTTTTAATCTTTAAACATGTTTCCAGGTCACAACTGTCCTGGGGAACTTTGCCTCTTTTATTGCAGCCAGTATCGACTGACTTACCTCTTCTTTGCCTGAAAATATAAATGACAATCACACACTTCCCCTCAGGACAAAGATGTGATGCACTGATCTGTTTGGTAAAGCCTGTTTTTTATTGCCATACTTCCTGTTCTTTAAGCTTTTGGTATCGGCTGCTGGCCGATTCCTTTTTCATAGTGAGAGTGACACACCCTGGAAGCCACAAAACCTTTCACTGTAAATCGTTTGCGTGACGGCCGCTGGTTCGATTCATCGGGACTTACGGGAATTGTATGTGCAGCTGTTTAAAGTTGTGTAAAGCGCTTTGAGTGCTCAGAAGAGTAGAAAAGCGCTATATACGAACCAGTCCATTTACCATTTAAACATCTGTTTACCTGGAAGTTGGTCTTCTCTAGTGACGCCCCGCCCTCGACCAGTAGTCGACACACTGCGTGCTGCTTCCCTGATGCTGCTTTGTGCAATGCAGTGTCACCTCTAGACACGCACACACACGCACACACACACAGACACACACATTCTGGTGATCAGATACAACTCATATCAAGCTACAGATCATAGATAAAGCAGTAACGTCACTGTGGTCAGACTGTTCTATACCACACTACACTACAGGATTGAGTTGTCTGCACTCAGGTTCTCACACAATCACTACGTGTGAATTTTAAACAAATAAAAAATACACATGAATGATACATTTCCCTTCAGAGAAAACGAAACAGAAAGTACCTCTCTGTGTCTGTTAAATCCAGAAGAACCTTGGAGCCTGAGGAGGGAGAAACAGAGGAAGCGTGAGCAGTAATCTGAACGTACAAATGCTGTTAAACAAGCCAGAAGGTCCAAATCCTCTTTTCCTGCCCTCAGAACAGTCTTCCACTTTGCCTCAGTGTTTCTGGATCATTTCACATCCAGTATTAATTTTTGGCCTTTGCACACAGAGATTTGTCCAATTTTTTTTCAATCTTCTGATGATATCTTGTACTGTATATGATGCGATATTCGACATCTTTGTAATTTTACATTCAAGAACATGTTTTTCAAATTGTTCCACAATTTCTACATGCAGGTCTTGTGCACAGGTTCACCAATCTGCACCTCATTACTCTCTGAGAAGCTCTTTTGATACCCAATCATCACATTGTTGATGTTCCTCCACTTGTTTCTTTTTCAGCTTTTTTTTGCCCTCTTCCCAACTTGTTGGAGACATTTTGCTGCGATTAAATTCAAAGTAAGACGAGATTTTTCATGAAATACTAAAACGTGTCAGTTTGAATATTGGATATTGCGAATATCCAGAACTGTTGTTGTGACACTGAGATGTACACAGCTGTGGGATTTTAACCCTAAACAACCTGAGTCTTTCAGTTTTGTGACTCTGACTGAAAGTAGATCCAGGAGACGTTCGTTTACAGTAACACAGATATTTATTTAACATGCACTTTCTCACCTTGCTGCAGTATGTAGCGGACCAGGTCTGCGTGTCCACTCTGAGCAGCTAAATGCAATGCTGAACAACCCCCAGAGTCTCGGACCAACAAATTGACGCCTCGATCCACACACTGTGAGAGCTGCAGAGGCCGACAGGAAGACACGATTTCAAGATTTTCAACATCAACCAGGATTCTTAAAAACAGGAAAATACAAAGAAAGAGCAAATCTTTCTTGATAGAAAAACCTGATTGTTCTTTCTTGATAAAAGCACTGAAAATCTATTTCTATATGTTATTTCATTTATCTTTTTAGACCCCAATTCTTTTTTCATCCTCCACTGTCCAAACACACACTCTCAGATATGCCAAGTATTCAGCTAACAGCTCTTTGGTAATCACCTTGTTGTTGTTTGTCAAAGAACAACAAGGTAATTACTAAGATGTTAGCTTTGGTATTCTTCAAGAGAAATGGGAACAAATTAAGTGGGTTTTTGTGACAAAGTGCCTAAGGATAATTTTTAAACTTGCTACCTTGAGAGGACGCCTTCTCTGTGTAGACACAAGAGTGGTTAATGATTCTACTGTCTGGGAATCAGGGTAAAGCAGCTTCAGCTAACAACTGTCTCGCTCCTATCCCGGTGGACCCACATGTCTTTCTTTTAGTTTTGTTTATCTGTCGCAACACCCCACATCTTAATCACAGGAGACGTGAGACGCAAGCAATAACAGGTGACAAAAACAGGAGATAAAGACACAGATTTGTTGTTGGTCCACACAAATCAGACCTCTTCCCCTCTGTTTTTGGTGACATAAAAGGCCAAAATACACCCATACATGTGGGCATTCCACTGCCATCACTTTTAGTTTCCTTTAATTTATCCGAATAAGTCCTCTCATTAACCGTCTGCTATAGTGCCCCTTCCATTTCTGTCCTGGACTATGAGCCAGGCCACAACCAGTTTAAAGCATTTTCTCGTGATCTTGCAAACATCAATAATCTGTTTTTTGGGGAGTTTTTTACTTCTAGAGTTTTTCCTGACTCTGCTCATTTCTAGCTGAATACTTCAATTCTTTGACACAACCAGAGTTATTTTTGTTTTGCTTTTTGTTTTTGTTGTTATCAGTTCTTGAAACAGCCCCTTAGCTCATCCTCTGTCTGGAACAACCTGTTTTAGTTCCTCCCACTTTAAGCCAAGTTTCATTGCCCCATGAAGGATGTCTGGTCTGATACAGAACCAAGAGAGGGAAAAACCGTCACATGTACACATGACAGAAACAAGAAACCGTGGGATTTCCTCCCTTTAGAAGGTGTTATTGTCATGGCTGACAGGGAACTTTGTAGGAATGCCTGTAGTATGAGTCACAGCATGCCCGTAATTTTAAAAAAAAAGGAGCCTGTGGTGTTTGGAGTGATGCATAATTTAACCTTTTCATGACTTGAGAAACTGCTGAGTCTTTGTTGATCTTTATCGGCTGGGCAAAGGGAATTTTAATGTTGTGCAACATTAAACCACTGAAACTAATTCTGCAGTGGCTAACACACAGGCTAGTAACAGGTCATCCTCAGGCCGTGACAGAGTGGATGTGAATTACCGTGGAGAGGTCCCCAGAACTTGCAGCTGTCAGCAGAGCTGTGAACACACAAACACAAAGCAGTCACTTTCTTCCTCTTTTCTGCAGCTGTCTCTGTGCTCAAACACTGCTTACAGCAGAAAAACAATGCAGAGATCTTTTTCTCAGTAACAGATAATTAAGGTGACCTATTGTTTGAAGGGAGCATCAGCCTGAGTCTTTCCACAGGGCTCTATTTTAACTTTGCTCCACTTTCTTACAAAGGTGAAGGCTGAGGTGTTTTTTCCACACAGGAGAAATATTCCTCTTGTCTCGAGGCATCATGCTGCTCTGAACAGCCCAACTAGAAAGCCTTAATGACAGCATTAATCGCAGGGAAACTAAAACTCCAGCACTTAATGTGTGTCTGGAGCATTTACGGATGAGGATTTCATAATTAGCGATTGACCGTCGGAGCTGCTTTTAGGAAAATAATTAAATAAACGCGTTAAAAGCAATACATTTCGGTCCAAGCAAGGCGTTTCTAAAATCGTAAATCAGCACAAGTAGAAAAAAAGCAGCAGAACTGGAAGCACAAGGAACAACTGGTTCTCTGGGAGAACTGGGGAGTCCCGGGAATATGGATGACTGTTTATTGGCATGTGACTCTGTAAACAGGCCTCTCAAACACTGTTCCACAGTGTGCTCAGAAGTGTGAACACACTGAAGAAAGCAAATCAATTTACCAAAGAGAGAAACCTGTAAAGAAAAGTCCCAAACTGCCCATCTCCATAAGATAATGGAAAAAGTTTGCTCAGTCTTATTTTTCAGAAAAAAAACAAAAGCAAATGAGGAAACTGTATCTGTCCGAGAAGTGTTTTACTTTTAGTTTCTAAAGTTGAGACATGCCCTTCTCTATGAGTCATATCAAAGGTCAACCCATGACTTCCACCTGACAACTCACAACCAGCTGATGTTTACGGTTTCACCGCATTACATTTGATCAAATCAGGCAAATATTTACCCTCATACTCTGAATATTACAACTTACAGGCACGCCAAACACTTTACATTTAATGTGCCCTTTTGTACCAGGTAAGTACAGGAGAGTAATTAGAGGGCTGGAAAACTCCTTAAAATATGACAAAATTACAGAAAGAATCAAAGCAGGAAGATGAGCCTGGCTTAGAAGTTGCTTCTGTTTAAAAAACAAAACAAAAAAACATTAATATACACCAGTTACCAGGGAGTTTTTCCTTCCCACAGTCGCCTGTCATCTGATTGCTGGACTTTACTCTCCATAAAGCACTTTAAGGAAATTTTTATTGTATTTTTGTTATATATGAATAACTAGAAATGAATTTATACAACAAAGTTTAACCTTGCCTGTTGTGTTTTTGGAGAAGTCTCTTACTTTCAGGCTCCTTAAAAAGTTAAACTTTAATATTGTGACAACTGTGTGTCTGTGCGTGCGTGCGTGTGATACCTTGTTCGTCTGATGTCAACGGAGCGCTGCAAACAGAAAACAAAGACAGCGTTAATAAGATATGTAGATAACACTTTTCCAGTGCTTACACAATGTTAGTATCGCGTAACCATGGAAACCTTTGTATTCTCATCAGCAGCAGATGCAAGTGCAAAGTTATGGCCACATCTGTTAATTATAAATGTTGAAGAGAAATGATCTGATGTTCAGCCTCAAACACACGTTTGCTTTAGTTTTGATGTCCCATCTGAGAGGGCTTCTTCTAAGCAATAATTCAAAGATATGTGTCTGTGAAGAGTTATGAATGCACTCCATCCTTTCATCTAAACATGGTCACTTCTGGCTCCAAAGAAAACAGCGTGGCGGCAGCTAAAACGCAGGGGTGACGCTGTGGTGGCTACGTGTGATGTCACTTGCCCTCTTTCAGATGCATCAGGGGGATCTGCCTCGCCTGGGAGCAGAAAGACGTTGCTTCTCCCAAAACGCTCGCTGCTTCATTATGAATAAACTTTTTCTCATTTGCTTTTTAGGTATGGAAACTATTTGATACCCAGGATAAGAAAGGTGATCACACAGTAGGTAAAACAAAACGTTCATGTGGAGCGTGACCCTCCCAGAGATAGTTTTCTCTGTAATCCTTCTTTTGTCTACTCTGTCCAGAAGTGAGGAGAGCAGATAAAATGCACAGGGCCGTGCCGGCTGCATCATATACAATGACACGATTCACTCTCATCACGCAATGTCAGTTCTGCCGTTTGAACCCATCCACTCTTCCATCACTCTTCACTGCCCAGTTTTCTATTAGCAAGTCAGAGAATAGATGCTAAACTCTGCCTGCATTCAGCTGCTGACTGACTAAACAGCTCTGAAGACCAAGACAGAAGATGATCCTAGAGGCTCGAGCGCTGCACTCCAAGAAAAAGAAAATTTCTCCACAAAGTGCGTGCATGGAGTTTTCTGGTTCAGATATCTTCAAAAAACCAAACAAACAAACAAACAAAAAAAACAGATGGTGTCTCCTTAATTTCCTTTTTTTAAATTTAACATGTATCTGGGAAAATATGACATAATTCTCACCTGCTACGTTTTTCTGATCACACCAGGAGTAAAAACGCATGCAAAAATTTATTTAATTGAGGTGCATGAATGACCACCGTAAAGAAGAGGCTCCTGACCTCAGTGAGTCATCTCTATCTGCTGACTTACCCGGCAGTGGGCTCCACCACCAGATCAGGCATCCCCGCAGACGAGCCCTGGCTCAGCACTGGAGCTTCGTGGTCCAGGATGAACACTTCATCCTGACAGATTTCTGTCACGAAATGCAGATGCTCCTAAAACAAAACCCCCAAACCCCCAGAGAACCAGGAAAGAAAGAAGGAACGTGAGGAAGAAAATGCACCTGGAAACAAGCTTTGTGAATTCTGAAGCAGCAGGAAAGTCAAAAATACCTGAGCCTTGTCGATGCGATAGAAGCGGTCGGCTGACGTGGCTGCAGAGAAGGAACACGCAGTTACGCGACATAAAACGTCTGTAAAGCTGCATTCATCAAGATCCCTGCAGGGTTTTATGATACCCAAATAATCTTTTATGATTTTAGAAAAAGCTTCAACGACTTTCATTTTTATCGGATAATTTAGTTTATAACTCAAGTCCTTTGATGAAAGCATGCAGTTCATTTTAATTAAGATTTAAAATGAATTGAAAATAAAGTTAATATGATACAAAAACACATTTACTGATCACTTACCAACTATAAAAACACAAAGAATCTAAAGTCGATATGAAGTCGATATGATCGTTTTTTGGGATATTTATTAAAATAAAATGCATCACTGTCCACAATAGTAATAAACCTTTTTTGTGCTACTTGTGGCTTTTGAAACTTGAAACTTTTGACGCCCCCCTGTGGGCATTCTTTGCAAGTTAGCAAACATTACACATTCAGCCTGGGATCAACTAATACTAGACTTGTACTCAAGACCGCCTAAACCAAGACCAAGACGATACCAAGACCAGAGGGTATCGAGACCAAAACAAGACAGACCAGGTGGAGACCAAGACAAAGATGAGACGAGACGGAGACTAAAAAGTCTTTAAACTGCAGCCAGATGCTGCTTCGTTTACAGGTGTCAGGCATATTTATGTGTTTTTGCGATGCACTCACACAGTTGTATCACCTGCTGTGGCGCCCCCTTGTGTCAAGTGAACCAATACAAGCAACTTTTGAAGGAATTTGTGACCTTTGTTCTTAAAAAAGCACAAAATAAATAAACTTTACCCTACTTTCAGGACTGGAGTCTGAATGCATTACTGTGCTTGACACTTTACTAAAGGATGTGATCGATAACTGACTAGTTTGGTGACTAGTTGAAGGCTTTAAGAAGCTATGTGTACGGTTTACAGACATAAATAATTCTGTAACAGCATCTTAGTAGAAATTTAACTCTCAAGGAGGGAAGAAAAAGCATTTTAAAACCTTACTTTGAGTCAAAGTCTGCAAGCTGGCGACCCTATACATGCAGTTTTTGTGTTTTGGGGACCACTGAAATTAAACTTAATTTAATTAACTGCCACAACAGGTGCATGAAAATGTTACCGAGATCCTTCTAGAAGGACTCTGATCCAGTTTAAGGTCACTCACAATCCAAGAAGCTCCAGTTGGGAGACAGTCTGCTGGTTGAACTGGTCCGGGGGACACCTCTGCTTTCATCCTGGAGGCAAAGAGACAAATCGTCGTCGTTGTGATCGTCGCCATTTTTTTAAAATTGAACAATGAACTGAAAGTAACAGGGTTCAATCAGGAGATTAATCAGAGTAAAGACGAAGCAAAAGACAGAACACGTGAAAAAGACAAAAGTGCTGTTTACGAGTGTTTTGTAGCGTGGCAGAGATGAGCAAGACAATAAGACAGCATGTAGTGCATTGTCAATGAGCTGTTTTTAGGGATTTTACCACTCTAAGGGTTACTCTAAGGATTTTAGAGTGGGTGCCAGCCTATAACAGATAAAGTTAGTTTATATTATTTAGCTATTATTTAGCCAAATGCTTATGAGCTGCCAGCCACCTAAAAATGTTAAACTCTTAGATGACTGTCCAAATGTTTCAGTGTTTCTCAACCCTCACAGAAAGACACCCCAAAGTCATATACCTGGTAGTGCACTCTGTGGCCAGTAGATGGTGCCTGGTGTAAATCCTAGCAAGCACACAGCAGACAGGTTTCAAGGTTAACAAAGAGCCAGAAGCATTTACACAAAAAACACCAACAGCTTCTACACACACATTTTACATTCAGTCACATGAGACATACAGCTAAAGAGCACCGCTGCGTTCCCGGCAGTGCCGGTCATTCATCCATCTATAAATAACTGAGAAAGGAGCGGCGACGCTGCTGCGTGGATCATGAAATAATGATGAAGAGGAGGAAACAGGAGAAAAGGAGAACAAGGGAGGCAATTAAAGGGATGATGATGATGATGATGGTAAAGCTAGAGACTTGCCTCTTGTAATCTGTCAATATAAAGTCTGCAGGTCTCCAGGTCACAGTCCCCCCTCACCACCACTATGCCAACAGGGATGGCTGAGAAAAAACAAAACAAAACACAGACACATGTTAGAGCTTTAGGGTAATTACAGTAAAGATTTATCAACACATGGTATCCACAGCTGATCACCTACACTACGAAAATTATTTTTCTGCACTAGAAATCTTCAGAAATACGTTTAAATATGAAAACGTGGTGCCAGGCTGCAGAAACGTAAATGTTGGACACAGTCGGGTCCAAAATACTAGTTTTATTTGTCTGTCACATGAGTGAAAGGTTTGTTACTTTATAAACCACTAAAACATTTTTTTATTGTCACGTGTTTTTTGTCATGTGTCATGGTACAAAACCAGCCTGTATGGAAAGTTTCCTCCTTCATAAACAAAACTCACCCATTTGTTCGTTGTAAAGCTTAAAGTTATGTTTCGTGTATCCTGTTGATGCCTTTTGGAATTTATTTTTAATGGTTTATTTGACAAACAGTGTGACTTACAGTACTTACGCTAATTTAGTCTTAAGATGTAATTCAGCTTTAGTGGAATTCTTAGCAATAACAAACAGGTTAGCAGGTATCTGCTAGCTATATGTGTGTCAGAAAGTTGGTTTGGCTAAAAACAAATGAGCTACAAAATTCTGCAGCTGGTGACCCACAATTTATACAAAAAGTCAGATTAAAGCTGATATCTTTTTTAATTTAAGAGACACAGAGAGCCTTACATATGTCTCGTAGCCGCTCCTTGTCATACTGCAGCCTGTCGTACTCCTGGAGGCTGATCCGGTTCACTCGAAGACGCAGACGATCTGGAACTGCGTGAGGACTGGAAAAAGCACACACACACGTGCATGTACATGCACACACGCACACACACGCACAGATCAGACATGCCCGAGCAGACAATGAGAAAGGCATACAGATGCATACATGCACGCACAGACACAACTGGACACAACGCAAAACAGATCTGAGCTTTTATTTAAATATAAATATAACTGAGTGTCTGCACACCTGAATGAGTGGCAGCTCGATCAGAGGAGAAAACTACGTAAAAACAAACAAACAACTGAGCTGAACTCCTTCACTTCATTATTGACGATGTTTTGGTCCGTCTGACTTTCAGTGAAAGTGATCTCATGCTGAGATGCTGCCCACGTACCTGACGAAGGCTGGACAGACCAAAACACTGGAATCGAATAAATATTTCAGCAGTAAGCAGCACAGTGGAGTTCAGCTCAGCTGCTTTTACCTGATATTTAATTCCTCCTCTGTCTTCTTTCGTTCATGTGAAAACAGATCTATGAGCTCTGACATTATAAAAGACATCTGCACAGGTGTTTGAGAATCATACGTCCACAGAGCCTCAAAGCCTCTAACTCAATAATCTTACCTGCAAAGGGACAGAAAGCGTTTGAAATTACAACAGTTACATGACTCTTGTTACTTAGAGCACAACATTAAGACACTTTACAGGGTCTGGACGTCAAGCGAGAGGCTCGGTTCAGGTAAAGTTAAAGGGACTACAGCGAGGGAAACATTAAGACAAAAGACAGAAGCACACTGAGGAGTGGACAGGCTTTTATCTGCATGCTGCCACGCGCTCTTTCTCCCTCTGTCACTCTCTTCCAGCCCATGTAACACAAACACCAACAGCCAGCACGACACAGCAGGGTTTGACCAATACACCTATTTGAGCATTTCAAATCTGGGGTTCTCAAAATGGGGTTCATGGACCCTCACAGCCAACACGTCCAACAGGAAAAATCTGGGCTTATAAAATAAGGACATTACGACTTCTGTCTGTTACGTCTAACTCTCTCAGGTTGCTGTCTTTCTGATTAGCCACCGCTGCTAACGAGCACAGAGGAACATTAGTCAGTGTGTCCTTGAATAACCGTCTCCTCTCTATGAGTTGCCTGCACCTAAAAGCTCAAAAAGCGCCGCTTTAAATGAGTTGGGAATCCTAATGCAGAGCCTCTTTCAATGTTGGGACTTTGTCCTGATTTGCCCTTCCTCGCATTAAACATGCAGCAGGAGACAGCCCACGTCAGACTCTTCCTCGCTCCTGGAAATACTCTGCTTGGTTCAGGTGAGGGTACTGCCTGAGTTCAGCATGCAGGAGGCTCACTCGTGGTGAATGTACCAGTCATTACCTGTGAGTTTGTACTAAAGTGTTGGCAGGTTAAAGAGCGTGTCATGTTTGAAAGGCCTGGTTGGACATTTACGTTTCTTTATCAGTGTGATTGCTATTAAGGCTTTTTTTAAACACAACTTTCAAGGAAATATCCCTTTCTCTCGTATCATGATTAGGGTGAGGACTTAAGATTGGGTGGGGCCCGTGGGATTTCCTGATTTTAAAATGGGTCACAGCTTTTCTGCTTCATCCTTTTGTTCGTTGTTGTTGTAGCCAAAGCTTTGACTGAGCACCACCTCCAATACTACAAATAAAAACTGTTAAATGAACAAATAAAGTCAAATATTTTATAATTTGCTATCATTAAAATCATCATAACTGACCACAAAAAGCTGGGAAGATGCCAACTGCTGATTTTGTCATGTCAAATATTGGTCAAAGCCTGATGGATCAATAAAGACACAACGCTGTCAACACATTTATTCACACGGACACAAACATCCATCCATCCGGTGACAGAGGGCTCAGGTACTTACACAGAGAAGGAGTCGGGGGGAGCAGAGAGGCGGCGCAGATCAGCTGCACACACCTTCTGAATACTACGGCCGCACACACGCGCACACACACACAGAAGAGAGGAGGAACGTATGACGGGGGGAGATGAGGGGGGGAAAAAAAGAGAAAATGACGAGGAGGGGAAAGGAAATGAAAAAAAGAGGAGGGGAAGGAGACAAGGTAAAGAAAAGAAATAATTAAAGATCACACCGGCGTGTGTGTTGGAGGAATGAAGAAGTGAATATGAAGGAAGACAAAAGAAGAAGAAGAAGAAGAAGAAGAAGAAGAACAGGAGGAACAGACGGAGAAAAGCCCAGAGGTAAGTGGACAAACATTGATAGCACAGTAGCAGTACAGACAGTCGATAAGTTCAGCTACAGAAAGTCATCACCCTGTACTCTTCCTGCTCTCACATGCACACAGTTACTGTAGCTGACATGGTTTAAAATACACACAGATAAAGACAGAGATATACATGAAGAGATATTAGTGCTACGGGGATGGAGGAGGGTTAGTAGTCTCGTGATTCTCTTTGTGCAGGAGGAAATCACAAGGCAGCACTGCCACTCCTGAAACAGATCAATAAGCATCTCCTGTTCACGGGAAACTGCCAGTGTCAGCGTGTCACCCATGCTCTTGTTTGGATTCATTTGATTACACGTCCCTCCTTTGATTTGGTCTGGCGTGCTGTACGGAGATGTGGGAGACTGACGAGTGAATGTCAGCTCCTGCTAAACAGACTGTGTGACTCATTCAGATTTTTTACAACGCTGCTGGCCTAGATCCTCCATCTGTACGAGCGCGCACGTGTGTGTGTGTGTGACTCACTCGTTGAGCAGGGGCACAGAGGTGCGTCTCTTGCTCTTCTGGACCATGTTGGCCTGATTTCGAAGAGAGATGCGGAGAGTGGATGGAGCCAGTCGGCATGGCTCGCCGTCCACCTGAGCAGAAAGACACGCTGAGGTCATGTTTTAAAGGTCAAACCAATGACTTCATAATATTTGCTTCTTTTAGGCTTACATCAGCAGCATATAAATCCGAAAATCAGCCAAGAAGCTACTTGCACTCACAAACAGTTTAAAAGACGGACGTCTTAAACCTGCATTCTTTCTAAGGACCAGCAGAGGGTGACTCTTGTTTGGAAAGAGACCTCCACTTCTATGGAAATGAAAACGGCCCTCAACTCACTTGCTCTGTGAC